TGCTGAGCCTAGGGTGGGGTGCTGAGCCTGGGGGCGTGCTGAGCCTGGGATGGGTGGGTGCTGAGTCTGGGGGGTGCTGAGCCCTGGGGGGGCTGCTGCAGGGGCCCGCTGAGCACTGCACACCTGCACCAGCGTGTACTCGCAGTCCCCATCAAAGGTGAAGCTCTGCCCATCGAAGGTGAGGTAGTGGCCGTCCCCGTACACAGCACATGTGGCCAGGCAGGGTTCCTGGGTGCACTGCCACATCCTGTTCTTGCAGGTGCTGTGGGGTGGGGGGCAGAGTCAGGGCTTCAGGGGGACCCGGGCTGTGGGCCCGGCTTGCCTGACTCCTGGGGTCTCAACTGGAGTTCATCCTTTGAGTCCAAGGAAGGGCACCAGGATGCCAGGAGACAAGACGGGGTCCCACTCCCTGGCCAGACTGGCCATGGTGACATCTGTTCCAGTAATCTATCCATGTGTCCCAGGACCTCTTTCTGGGGGTCTGCTCTTCTTCTGAGTGACACTGCCCGCCTCAGGGACCCCCTGGGGCCGAGATGCACCTCCCCGGGACAGAGGCCTCCCTGCGCGCACCAGGTGTTGCAGCCGACACGGATGGTCTGGCCAGCCGTGTAGCTGGCCTCATTGTGCACACAGGGGCATTCGGTCTCCGCGATGCAGCCGCCCTCGCCGTCTGACACCAGCCCGTCAGGGCACACACAGCCGGAGATGCACGGGGAGCTGTACTGTAGGGGCAGCGAACACAAAGGTGGTGAGGCCAGGTACGGGGTGAACGGGGACAGGGACCAGAGAGAGCGTGTGTCTTCAGAAGGAACAGTGGGAGGCCCGCCCTGCCCAGTTTGGGCGACCTGTGCTGGGGCCCAGGAGCAAGGGGCAGGGTAGCCTAGGAGGCGGCACTCTGGGTCTCCTAGGATCCCCCACCCCGGGTGGGGCATGTGCAGGTCGCTGTGCGGCAAAGGTGGCCCTGAGGGTCCTGCTTGCTTTTGAGGCCCCTTGCCCCCCCGATCCTGGCAGGGGCTGTGCAGGTGCGAGGGGCAGGCAGGGACCACTGGGCTGATGTACTTACACAGGCCATGTCCAGTGTATGGCAGCTCTTCTGACAGCTGGCCCCTGCAGCCCCGGACGTGATGTTCTGGCAGTCGAAGTAGACCATGGGTGCAGCACAGACTGGGGGGGACGGGTGCCATTCAGGCAACCCGACCCACCCACTGGCCGGGCACTCTGCAGGGTGCCCCACTACCAGCTACCGAGAACATAGGTGCTCTGGGACCTAACCTTTAACCCATTCAAGGAGCGGGGGCAGTGGGGCTGTTGTTCATGTAAAGGTGGTCCCTGTAAATGGGCAGAAACCCAGTGGGATGTCTGGAAGTGGAGGCCACAGTGCACATAGAAGCAGAAACTTTGATCCCATGAAAACCAAAGTTCCCTGGGGCAGCAGCTGGCAGCCTGGCACACCAGCCTGCCACGGCCGTGCCCACCTCTGCCTCTCCAGGCCCAGCATAGCCGACCCTCCTCCCCTGGCCCCTGTGACACTGCTCATGGCTCCTCCATGGGCTGAACCCCCACGCGCATATGTGTGTTGTGTGCTCACACGTGTGTGTGTGTGCGTGTGAGTGTGTGTTTTGTCACGTGAATCTGTGTGTGTTTGTGTTGTTTGTGTCATGTGGGTGTCCTTGTGTGTATCTGTGTGGGTATGAGTGCGTGTGCATATGTGTGTGCGTGTGTGGCATGCGTGCACTCCCCCACCCCCTTCGCTGAGCCCCGGGGGGGCATGAGCCACCCCTGACCCAGAGAGGCTGATCAACAGTCACTGAGCCAGGTGGGCTTAGGGGACAGTTGTCCCCAAACCCATATGTGAGCTTGCTGCCCTTTCCTTCCATCCTAAGGCCCAGGGCTCACCTGGGGTAGGGGTGTGGCCTCCGACGCAGGTCAGTTTCCCCTGGTTGCAGGTGCTTCGAGGAGAGGAGAGTGCAGTCAGAGCCCTGCTCCGACGCTGGCCTCAGACCCCACTCGCCCACTTGCCCGCCTGCCCAGCCAAGACCTCTTACCAGACAGCTCCGCCGTCGTGCACTGACTCCCCGCTGAGGACTGGCGAGCCCCCGTAGTAGCAGGGGCAGCTGGCCGCTGGCACACACTTGCCAGAGTCGTCCAGGTAGGTGTCCTCAGCACAGACGCAACCGTCCACGGGCACGAAGCTAATGTGGCAGATGACGTCCTCCTCGCTCAGGGAGCGGCAGGTGGGCTGGCATGTGCTGACGTAGTCACGGTATGTCAGCGACTCAGGGCAGGTGGTCACGGGCTTTGCTGTGGAGACCCCAGGAAGAGGGGACTCAGGACCCTCGTGGACGCAGAGCTGTGCCGTCCTCAGAGGGGTCCCCACGAGGCGCCCCAGTGTCTAGTTAATCTCTGCCCCCCAGCCCCGGGATCCACCCCCAGACTGCACCCTCCTCCTCCTCGTCTTCAAGGTTCAGGGCCAAGTGGCCAGTGTGGGGGTGGGGTGCATGGAGTCTGTGCCCAAACCCCCGGGGGACACCAGTGGCCAGGCATCACCACACACTCACTGCAGGCGCCATCCCTCCAGCCGCGCAGCAGCACGCCCTTGGCGGCGCAGGTGTGCACATAGGCCGACAGGGCCGCACACAGGCAGTCCTCGCTCTTCTCACAGTTGCACGTGTCGAACAGGCAGTTCTGGGGGGCAAGAGTCAGTTAGGGACCCCCACGAGAGCATCTCCACCTCATGCTCCAGCCTCACGTCCAGGCTCTCTACCCTGCATCTCCCTTTCTGAGTCCCTGTCTTTCCCACCAGGGCTGCACTGCCTCCTCCGGGACCCCACCCCAGGTCCTTGCCAGCTCTTCCCCTAGATGCTAGGTGTCTGCTATGGGACTTGTATAGAGGATCTCAGAGCCAACCCCCCGTGTGGGGCTCCTTCCTTCGATGGGCTGGGCTGAGGCCCTAAAGGACCAAAGCCTTTTGTTACTATAACCTAGCAGGAGCTATAGTATAGGGGTTATACTGTAACCCACTGGCCAGAACCCTCAAAGTGAACCTCTGTGCCTGGTATAGGGCTGGAGGTGTGAGACGACCACAGTGAACATGTGAATGGATGGATGGATGGATGGGTGGATGGGTTGATGGG